AAAGCTCTTTTGTTAGTTATAATAAGTACTTCATTTGTTTCTTTTTTAACATCACTTAGAAGCAAATTTTCGTGTAATAGTTTATCGAAAAAAGCCCAAAAAATCAAATCAGCCAATATGGTTTTTTTTTGTTAATAAATTAAAAAATTTATATTAGTGTATAATCAAATTTTTGAAATAAATATATAAATATATGTTTGCACAACTAACTTTCATTTTAAATTTTAGTCATTGTTGAAGTTACACCTAAATCTCTCTAGTTAATATATGCAAGATGATTTAAAGATAGGGTGGACATAGATTATTTTTAATAGTCCTCATGTAGTATTCATATAAAATCATATAATTGACCAATCAAAATCGTAAAAACAACAAATTTGACCAATCAGGATTGGTAATTTTTGTACGACCTAAGGAAATTTGGTGCTATCTAAGTAATTTTACCAATATACGAAGTGAATTTTTTTTAAAAGATATAGTGTTCATAACTTTGCTATTAAAATAAGAGACCCCAAATTATATATTAGAAAAATTTAGCAAAGATTAGTCACGTTTTTAAAAAGTTTTATCAGAGGTGAATTTTTGCTGTCTATATAAATTTAATATATCATGTAGATCATATGAAAATACGTCTACCCTATCCTTAATTTCAGAAACTAATTTTAGTTACGTATAGCTTCAGACACCTATAATTACAACTTCAGATGAGGTTCAACTTCAAGCATGACTAACATACTGTATTAAATGTAATACTTCTTCAATATGAAAGAAAGCATCTGTCAATATTCATTTAGACAGTATGTATATACATCTAGAAAAACTATTTTTGTATTAATAATTTATAGTTTTTTATGCATTTAGAGAATAGATGCAATTAGACAGTATGCAATTAGGGATACAAACTGCTATAAATTTTTTTCAGACTCTAAATTACTCAAAAACCAATATAAAAATCAATAAGCCTATATTAATTATGATTATAAAAAAATAAACATTCTGTAACTTTACTTATCAGCCAAAGACCAATTAAAAATGTAAAGGTTTTACAAACTTGCTCAAAATTGGCTCACAATTGCTGTGGGATCCTAATATGCAGTTAAAAATTTAATAAGTATATTGATACAGTATTTGAATATGATAGAATTTTAGAACTAGGTTTTGACAATTTAAATACTATAAATAATGGTGCACCAACTTTAATCAGTACAATTGTCAGTTTCTATTTTTCACATGCATCAAATTTCGATGATGTAGAAATTTTTATTTTGGGTAGTATTGATAAAATTAAATTTAACAGAGAAATTATATTTAATCCTTTAATTAGTACAGTTAAATTTTGAGAATAAAGCAAGATAATACACTTGTCAATAGCAATCTAGTGTTTTTTTTACCGAATATTGCAATAATTGGCATAGGCACTACACCTATTATAGCACTTTCAAATGACACAGTGACAATTCATAAACAAATTCCAGGAGTCGTACTTGATAGTCTAAATAATGTCTATTGTAACTATTGTTGAGAGAGCGTAGGAAAATTATGTGGATAAAAGACCAATTTAACTTCAACGGTATACATGAAGATAAGGACTATCAGGGAAATGAAGTGAGTCTTTTATATTTGTTTTGGACAAAAGAAACAATGGGATACTTTTATGAATACTTAATATTAACAAGATATGATGAGGATGATGTGATAACAGTTGATACTGTTAACAATAGTATTCAATAGGATGATTTCAAGAACAATGATGATAATTTAAGAATATTTAAGGAAGGGCAGTAACCTTAAAGGTGATAATAAGACCAAAAGTGAATGATGATCAAGTAATACTGGGGATGTCTTTAAGTTCACATGATGATTTGTCGAAGTCAGATAACCGGTTGAAGATGATATTTCCTTTCACAATTTCTGTAAGTTATTAATAACAATATATGATTCAAAACCCGAGTCTTAATAATCCAAGTTGAAGTTAAAAGTCAATTTTGTCTATTGAATTGAGTCTCGATTAGGCTTATTAAAGTTACAAGTCAGATTCAAAACAATATGCAAGGGAATATTCAGATAAGTATATACTTTATTCATGTGAAACAATATTATAAGGATAGAATAGTTTTCTGAATATTCTATAGAATAGGTGGGCAAACTCCACAAACTCTGCAACTCTGCTATTAAAAAATTAATGATTACTAATTATTAGCGAAACTTATTTCTTATATTGCCCACCTATTCTGTAGAATATCCAGTTTTCTTTATTTATTTTTTAAGATAGAACTAATAAATTCTAATTCTTATCGCTTTGAATTACAGATCTTTAAATACATTTTAATTCTTAGAAATGTATACACCACAATTTTGGTGTTTACACTGAAATTATAATGCAGTCATGGAAATTTAGGTGTATACACCGTAAAAATAACACATACACCAAAAGATTTTAAGGCACAGCCTTTGTACAATCACGTATACGTGATTTTTTTGGTGTTTACGTGATTCATCTGATTTTCATGAAATCATGTCCCTAAGCCACCCATCATTACTATTTTAGTATAAGTTATGAAATGTTCAAAAGAAAATTAATAAATTTAATGAATTTGGACATTGCTACCAAAATGGATAGAGAATTACAAATAAACTATATACATGTGGATATTTCACCGAGAATAAAAGATTTATTTACAATAATAATAAAAAAAAAGTAAGAAAATAAAAAAAATAAGAAAATAAAATTTTTAATTTGTTACACTACATTATCCCTTGCAATACCACAGCAATACTTCCCCTTAGATTTGGAGTATGCAATTCCATCAAGAAATTTAATTTTCTTACCAGCAACTGGCACTGATTGCATATCGACTATTATGCCTGGAGATATTTTTCCTGATGTTGATGTCTGGGTTGTCGGTCTAGCATTCATTAAGAACGTATTTTCAGTATTTGATGTTGAAAACAAAAAAGTTGGATTTGCACGTAGTAAATAATTTCCATATTTCATTATAGTCGTTTATTAATACGTCATTGTATTATATTAATATGATTTTAGATACATTTGTATTCCTTTGAGCCTAATGCTGATGTCATATATGTCACATAGATATAAATTTACACATTGATTTAAATCAACGTTATAGATTTAATTTATTATTTTATCATTAGAAAATATTCGTGCGGCAACATGCTTGATGTGATGTAATATGCATAATTTGTTGCTATTTTAATCTTTTTTTTTATGTCAAACATTATCACTATTTTTAATTCCTTATTTTATTGTTTTTTTTTTCTTTATTTACAACAAGCAACAATAGAGCCAAAGGTATTTCTTATGTATTTTGATTGAGCAAAAAGGAAAATCTGCGACAAATGCGAAGGGTGTAAATAATATTTCTAAAATGGGTGGGGAAATATAAACTAACGTCATGGGTTTCTAAGCCATATGGCAAAGATGGGTCGATCAAAATTAAAAATCTTTAAAGACTATTACGAAGATCATTCATATTAGCTAAGCGTTATAATCTTTTTTTCAAGAATCACATAACGTTAATATTTTTTAAAAAGTTATTATTTAAAGTCGGAACATTATTACCGACCGTTGAACACGTCTATCCTTGTAAGAGGACCGGCCACTCAAAAATTTTCAGATCAATATTTAAATCATTCATGTTCCTACTATTGAAATTTTATTTTCAGGAATAAAATGGCAATGACAAATAAAAACGATAAATAAAATACGCATTTATTTTTGACTTTTGTAATTGTAACCAGAACATGTGTTTGTGATCTTTCAATCCTTTGGAATCTACCATCACGGCGAATTTATGAAATTTTAGCTAAAATTCGGTCACCAAATCCGAGTATTTGGTCCCTAACTTTAAATTTT